GTGTGAAACAGGATGCCGGACTAGATGAACCAGATTAGGTGGTCTGAATCCATGAGTTCCTCTTAGGTCGCTAGCTCAAGCTTTACACCTTTGCCATTAATGCACTAGGCATTCGTAGGCAAGACACTCTTCATTCTGGCATCAGCAATATGGCCTACCTAACAGGGCTGCTGTCAAGACTAAAAAGTGTGTGTGAAGTGTAAAGGACTTGAAACACTGAACAATAAATACTTAAGTATTAGTATTCTGCATGTAAAACATTGTGCTCCATCATTCAGCTATGGTGAGGTCTTTCTGCCAGTTCTACCCCTGTCTCTGTGGCAGTCAACCCCCTGCTGAATCAGGGGTCCTGATATCTGCTCAGCTGTACTGACTGTGGTCTTTACCGTTTTTACATTCAAGATGCCCCATCATCTGGAGAACTGAACAGTCAAAATGAAAACATTCCACCCAATGCACTCACAAGAGACGTGACTCTCTCACCCAATCTTACTCTCACCATAGGGCCTTTACTTCTACTTCTCCAAAAACCCTCACACTGCAGGAATACCCACCCTTCCACCAGTCGACTCCTCCTCACAACTCACAAATGCAGAGTTTAAAGCCAACTGCAAGGTCAAACCACTCTTTTCTTTTCTTTTTTTGCCATCAAGTTACAGCTGACTTATGGTGACTTTGCATGGTCTTCAAGGCAAGAGATATTCCGAGATGGTTTATCACCGACAGCCTCTGCGTAGCAACCCTGGTATTCCTTGGTGGTCTCCCATCCAAAACTGACCAGGGCCAACCCTGCCTAGCTTCCGAGATCTGACAAGACTGGGCTAGCCTGGGCTATCCAAGTCAGGGCAAACCACTCTTTCTCACCCATCAACTGTTTTGTCACCTGCATTAAAAATTATGCAGTTAGGAATAGTCAACCCTTTTTTCAAAAATCAACACAAAAAACTGAAGCAGTCTCATTTATCTCAGAATTTACTTGAACTCTGTCAGAGATTATTTTTTTTAATCTGAAAAGCAAGGGGAATGACATCCAAAACCTTCTACAGACTGCAGCTGCAGCATTTCAAAATCAGCAAACAAGTTGCAGTTGCCAACAAGGTATGTTTGTTAAACACACAGTGTAACATTGAAGAGCAATACTAGCTTCTCAAATAACTGACCCAGGTCAAAGAAATAACAAAATTAAAGGACAGAGAAGGATAATTTAGGCTGCAATCCCAGGACTGCCTGCTCTAGAGTAGCCCCATCAGCAGCAATGGGATTACTCTAGTATTGCAAAGATCTCAGAAAAGTTTCTGCTGGCCTACAAAATTTAGGATAATTTTTAAGATTAGATGAGGAAACAAATGGGTTGTGGTACTGAGGGATTTTAGTAAGAAATTTTCTTTGTGAAATTATTTAGATACGTGCCCAGTTTGCTTGCTCTTAAAAATTCTGCTCTACACACACAGCCAGAAAAAAAGGGGGGGGGGGATGGGACCAGACAGCTTTCCTTTTCTGGTCACCTAAAGGCAATTCTTACTTGCCAAAGACAACCAGCCTACTGGCTATTAACAAGCATGGACTATACATCCTAGTTGCCATCAACAAGCATGGAAGATGCCCAGAAGTGGTTCCACAGAACAGCACAAGCACTGACAGAGTAGATGCCAGTTTGCCACAACACCCCTCTTTTTCAACTCCAACGAAGCACCGAGAATCTCTGAACAAGAAAGAATGGAGCCATTTTACAAAAACAGCCTTTAAAAGTGAGTAATGATGTTTAGTTTTGCATTCTTCCCCACCCCAACTACAGTTTAGATAAAACAGGTTGGGGTAGAGCAGAATTTTTAAGAGCAAGCAAACTGGGCATGTATCTAAATAATTTCACAAAGCTCCTGCCAACCTAGCAGTTCGAAAGCAAGAAATTGCAAGTAGATAAATAGGTATCATTTCGGTAGGAAGGTAACAGCGTTCCGTGCGCCTTGGTGTTTAGTCATGCTGGCCACATGACCACGGAAACGTCTTCGGACAGCGCTGGCTCTTTGGCTTTGAAACGGAGATGAGCACCGCAACCCTAGAGTCGGATTCGACTGACTTTCGAGCAAGGGAACTTTACCTTTACTTTAATGATGTTTACTTTTGCATTCTTCCCCACCCCAACTACAGTTTAGATAAAACAGGTTGGGGTAGAGCAAAATATTTAAGAGCAAGCACACTGGGCACGTATCTAAATAATTTCACAAAGGAAATTTCTCACTAAAATCCCTCAGTACCACAACCCATTTGTTTCCTCATCTAATCTTAAGAATTATCCTAAATTCTGTTGTGTCCTGCAGAGCCTTCGAGCACTTCTTGGTTTAAACAGTGGAAATAGGACAAGATGCTTCTGTGCACCTACTTTTCCTTCCTCACTTTCAGGCAACGTACAAAGCCAAGACACCAGAATCCAGCCTCAGACTTGCGTCTTTGTAGTACGCAAACAGTACGAGAAAATGGAGCACTTTCAGCTGTTTCCAAGCACAAGAGGAGAAAAAGCAAATGGGAAAGAGCTGGTAGAAAGTAACCAGGGCAGTACAACCAACCTGGCTGTGAAAGATTCCAGGACGGATAGGCAGTGATAAACACACACAAAAAATGTTTTTAACGTACTGTTATTTTAAGAATCAGTGTACTGGAAAAGATAGGTGACTTGGGAGGTTTCTATCACAGGGCAGATCTGATTCACCGTGATTCATTCCCTTGTCAGGTGCCATGGAACTTGAGGAGAAGTGCCTGTTAGGAAGATGGATTTCTGCATAAGCCGGA